CTATCTCTCTCTATCTCCCCCCCTAAAATTAATAAAGAAAAAAATTTAAAGAAAAGAGGAAAGGGCATGCCTTTTCCCTTCCCCTTCCCTCACCTCTGAGCAGCCGGGTAGGCTCCTTCTCCAGCTCTCCGCTCTGGCACACCCACACCCACACCCACACCTTGAGAGGTTGCTCTGGTTGCTAGCAGGGCAGGAACCAGGGCCAGGAAGACCTGGACACCAGCAGGCTGAAAGTAACATGGCTACTTTGTTGGCATACCTGGCCTCCCTCTCCTGCCCTCTGGCCCCCAAGGCCCAGGGTGGGGATCCAGCTATTGACTCAGAGAATTTGGTGGACCCTAAAATTGTTAGGGGGCTCATAGGCAGGGAGTGAGTGGGCATGAAAGAGAGCAGTGCCAGGATGCAGGTGGGAACCTTTGTGACCAGGACCAATTTCCCTCCAGGGTATGGGACCCACAGTCAGTTCCATTTATTTCCATCAGGTGGCAGTGTTGGCTAAAGACTCGCTCCCAGGGCAGGTTTTCTATCATTCACTCGCTCACTTGTCTCAGTTTTAGGGCTGAAAACTAATTTAGCCAATATATAATTCAGGTGCAGTTGACATGCAATTTGAGGGTCCAACTGAACGGATTTTACCATATGCATACACACCACCCGATCAAGATGGAGGACACTGCCAGCACCCCAGAGGCTCCCATGTTGTCCCTCTGGAAGGTGAGGACTATTCTGACTTCTAACAGCACAGATTAGTTTGCTTGTTTTTAAAAACTTCATATAGCCCTGGCCGGTTTGGCTCAGTGGTTGGAGTGTCGGCCTGCAGACCAGAGAGTCCTGGGTTCAGTTCCTGCTAGGAGCATGTACCAAAAAACAAAAAAAACTTCATATAAATGGAAGCATGCGGTAGCTGCTGCTTGGATCTTCTCTGGATCACATGGGTGGGGTTTCCCCAGGTAACAGTGATTTGTTTTACGGCCGTGGTGTGACTACATGGCAATTTCCTTCTCCGCGCAGCTGTTGGTGGGAGTGGGAGGTTGGGTGCCCCAGGGAGCAGCCCCGAGGCAGAGGTAAGGTACTGATGAGCTCATTAGGGAGCATTCTAGGGACCCACACCTGTGGACATGGGGCTGGACAGAGAAAGGAGCCCGGACCCTAATGCAAGTACAACCAAAACCACTTAGGGCAGCACCCCAGCCTCTGCAGGACTAAGTCCCTCATTCCTGAGGCGGTATCTGAGCAGCGCATCACAGCGCCCAGCACAGCCAACCTTTGGGTTGTTTCTAGTCTGCGGCTGTCATGAACAACACTTCTGTAGCAGTCTCTCTGCACATATGCTCCTGAGCCTATTGGGAATCCACCCAGGAATGGAATCGCTGGGCCATCTGTTAGGCGGGCAGTCGTCACTGCGCTGCACTGTTCGGCATCGACAAATGCCTGCCCGCCAGCTGCTGTGGGCATGGCCCTCGTCGTTCTAGGGGCCAGTTTCCAGACGTGGAAGCCCCCTGTCCTCTGAGCTTTCGGCCTGGTGGGAACAGTCGAGCTTGGGCAAATATAATAAGGTGGGGTCCCACAGCCCCGATGGCAGGAGACACAGGGACTGGATTGCCGGTGTCCCAGATTGGGCTGGGTGCCCTGGCTTTCCACTTGCTGCAGGCTGGCACAGAGCCTGGACAAGGCCTCAGCTTCCTCAGCTGTTCAGTGGGGACTGAAACAGCTGTCCAGCAGCTTCTCAGGGTGCTGGAGGCATCTGAGGGCTGACCCTGACCTCTGTGAAAGGCCTTCGGCGGATGGGTCCTGGGCAAAGTGAAGGGACCTTCAGGAGGGATATGGGGAGCTACAGGATGGGTGAGGAGGTGCAGAGGCCTCAGCCCCTCCTGGGAGTGTCCCTCCTGGCTTTGAGGGCTCTGTGCATCCTGTAGTACTGATGACAGCCACCAGGGGCCGCCTCAACCCTGCAAGGGCCAGTCAGACCTCGGAACAAACATTTAGGACAACCTTGTGGTGCTGGTGGCCTGCTGGGGAGGGAAGGCTGCAGACTGTGTGGGGCAGCCTCTGCCTCGCACTCAGGTGACCAGTCAGCAACTACCCATAAAGCTCCCACGTGTGTCAGCACAGTCAAAGGGGGAAGACGCTGATGACAGCCAAGTGCTCCGCGGGAGGCAGGGGCCTGTCAGGAGCCTGGGACCGGCCCAGCACAGCCTCAGGCACTGGCGCAGCCAGACCCCAGGGCCAAGTCCCAGCTTGTCACTTACTGCCTTGTGCTCCTGAACAAGTTACCTCGCCTCACTCTGCCTCAGTTTTCCACTTGTAAAATGGGGGTGATTACAATAAATAGAATCTTTTTGAGGAGTTGCCATGAGCATTAGCAGGGCAGCACAGCCTGGACTCAGGACGGCAGTGTTTGGTAGCTTCATGCAGGGTGGGAGTGTGATGGGGTCCTGCCGGGGCAGCCCCGCCCCCCCACGTCCTGGGCCGGATTTAGTTCCTCAGAAGGCCCACTCCCACGGAGGTCCTGAAGACAGGAGCACACCTCACCTGCTGGCGTGGCAGCCCCACGTTGACAGCTCGTCCAGTGACTTTCCACACAGGCCAAGCTCAGGAACTGACTTCCCTGGTAAGATTCCATAATTACCTGCTCATAGGAATGTGGTTTAGCGATAGGGTGCGCTTGGCTACAGCCCCCTGGGGACAGCCCAGGGCAGCCGGCCTTACAGGCGGAGCCAGGGTGGAGGAGGAGAGAGGGCCCCACCCTGCTCGAGAGAAAGGGGATGCCCTGTGCCTGGGTCCCCAGGCTGGGCCAGCTGGGACCTGGACTTGGGGTGTATGCTGCTGACCTCTCACCAGTTTGCCTCTGGCCTTTGCTTCTAGAGGGGGGCTCAGGGAGCCTGGCAGGGTGCATGGTGTGGAAGAGAGGGCCCGGGGTGGCAGCCACATCTGAAGTCACGGCACATTGGGACTGGAAAGGACCCACAGATCAGCTCATCCTGGCTTCCTGTTTTACACGTGGGGACACCAGGGTCCAGAGAGTGCAAAGGAGGGCAAGGAAACGCAGGAGGTAGAACGTGGGTCTCCAAAACACCTCCCCGCCCTCAGGGCCTTGCATGGGGGAACCTGCCCTTTAGCCAGGTTCAAAGAAGTCATGACCATGGCCTTGATCCGGGGCCCTGGGAAGGGCTTAGCCTGGGTAAGAGGCCAGGGTACTCACAAGCCTTGTTTCTAAGTAGGTCCACAGGGCCACCCTGTTGGGAAAGCATGCTACAGGCACGCCCGACTTTCTGAACCAATCCACACTTAACGAGCTCCCCAGGAGTCGTGTGCGTGTGGAAAAGGGAGAAGCACTAGGTTAGAGCCTGCCTCAGTGTCCCTGTGGGAGTGGTGGGCAGAGGCTCCCTGGCCTTTTTGTCACAGCTGATGCTTTGGGAGCCAGGCCTCTGGGGACGACTTTCTGGGGGTGACTTCCGCCTTGGACTGGGTTCTGGAGGGTGGAACTCCAGCCCCGGCAAAGGTCGGGGAGCAATCACGTGCTCGGGTTCCACCTGCCTCGCCTGCTCTCTGGAGCCCGGCCGGGCCTCCCCGAAGTCCCAGGACGCGGGGACTCTGGTCAGCCCGCTGCAGCAACGCCAGCTCAGCGCCTCCGTGTGCCGGCGAATCTCACCCATCGGACTGCACTCTGCCAGCATGTGTGATTTTGTTTTGTATTTTTATCCTCACCTGAGGATATTTTTCATTTATCTTCAGATAGAGTGGGAGGGAGAGAAGGAGGAGGAGAAAGAGAGACACATCGACTGGCTGCCGCCCACACGACCCCAACCAGGATGGGGGCCAACTGCAATCAAGGTACATGCCCTTAGCGGGAACCGAACCCGGGATCCCTGGTCCATGGACCGACGCTTTAACTGCTGAGCAAAACCGGCCAGGGCCCAGCGTGTTTTTTTTTTAAATCTTCACCTGAGGACATGCTTAGAGAGAGGAAGGTGGGGAGAGAGAAACATCCATGTGAGAGAAACATAAGTCGGTTGCCTCCTAGATGCTCCCTGACCAGGGATTGAACCCGAAACCCGGGGATGTGTCCTGACCGGGACTTGAACTGGCAACCCCTTGGTGCACAGGGCAATGCTCAACCAACCGGACCACTCTGGCTGGGCTACCAGGGTGTTTTTTAAAATGACTGATGCCTCCCCGGCTGGTTTGGCTCAGCAGTTAGAGCGTCCGCCTGCGGTCCAGAGAGACCCGGGTTCGGTTCCTGCTAAGGGCACGTACCTCGGTTGCGGTTTGTCCCCACCCCAGTTGGGGTTGTGTGGGTGGCAGCCACTTGATGTGTCTCTCTCACATCGATGTTTCTTTCTCTCTTCCTCCCTCTCTCCCTCCCGCTCTATCTGATGATGGATGCAAAAATGTCCTCGGATGAGGATAAAATAAAATAAAAATAAAAACAAAAACAAAGCCCTGGCCGGTTTGGCTCAGCAGTTAGAGCGTTGACCTGCGGTCCAGAGAGACCCGGGTTCGGTTCCTGCTAAAGGCACGTACCTCGGTTGCATTTCAGTCCCCAGCCCTGGTTGGGGTTGTGCGGAGGGAACCAGTCGATATGTCTCCCTCACATTGATGTTTCTCTCTCTCCTTCCCTCCCTCCCACTCTATCTAAAAATAAATGGAAAAATATCCTCAGGTGTGGATTTAAAAAATAAAAATGAAAAAAAAAAGTGACTGATGCCAACCCCACCCCAGGCTGCTGGAATCAGGGCCTCTGGGTCAGGTGTGGGCACAGGTACTTATTAACATGCCTCAGGCAATTACAAGGCACAGACTGCTCAGAAGGGGTGAGAAGTCTACTGTCTATCCCACCCTGGCCACCCTAGTTCCTGCTTCCTACAGGCTGGCCAGCGGCCCACCAGGAGACATCAGGAAATCCCCTGACTATTGTAACTCGTGACAACAACGCCCAACGTCTAATTAATCATCAACCTTGTAACATGATCCCAGCCCATAACAAGGGGACCAGTGCAGACTCTGGTAACCTGTCTCTTGACCTCTTCAGACAATTCCTTCCAGACCCGATGGGGGCCCAGCTCTGCTTCCAGGCTGGTGAGTGGAGCCTGTGCTTGGTCCCTGGACAGGGATGCAGGAAGCAGGGGAGGCCCTGGGTCACTGCTGGGCAGCGCGGGAGGCAGAGGGGCTGGCAGCGTCCACACCACTCGGAAAGGGCTACTGAGCAAGGCGGAGCCGACCTGGCTGGCAAGCCGCGGTGCGCACCGAGGCTGCGAGCTTCCTGCCCCTGCGAGAATCCACAAAGGCCAGTGACTAGGTCCAGCATCCCTGCAGTGACCGGATGACCCACAGGACTGGGCTGCCTCCGGGTCCTGACGTACAGGGAAAAGCCTGGCTGGGTGGGAACAGCAGAGTTTAGGGGTCCTGGTGGAAGACGAGGGCTCCAGTTGAGAGTGCTGAGCTGCGGGACCTGGGGCAGGTCACCTTCCCTAGGGCCTCCGCTGCCTCAGCTGAAGGCTGAGCCAATGCAGTGACCTGCTGACTTCCAGGACTGCCTGCAGCACAAACCAGAGGTCGCCAGGCTCCTGGTCTCTGCACCTCCCCAGAGGCCAGTGTCCTTCTGTGTGAAGGGTAGAGATGGGGAACCTGGGCTTTTACCCCCGGAGATATAAGGGCTCCTCTCTGGACACTGCTACCTCCCAGGCAAGGGGCCCCCCAGCCCCCCCTCCTGCTCCCCTTTCCCTAGCAGCACTGGAGACTCATATGCCAATGGCAGGTGGCACCCAGAGCCTGGGGGTAGGCAGGGACCAAACCACCACTGCTGCAGCTTTGGCAACTACGTTTGGATCCTGGGCACCGGCAGGGCCATGAGGGAGGCAGCACAGGGGTGCAGGGACCAGCAGCAGGTCCAAGTCCCTCCAGTTCTGGCTGCAAGCCGGCAGCGACGTGCAGGCCCTCCCCGAGCTTGGTCCCTGAGTGCTGTCCCGTGGGGGTCTTTCCCCACAGCAGTGGGCAGGGAGAAGGCTGCAAAGCACCTGCAGAAGCTGGATGGCTGGAGGGGCGGCGATGAAAATGTTGGAGATGCGGGGGGGGGGGGGGTCCTCACGGAGCAGGCCTGACTCCCAGGCACTCAGGCTCTAAGAGCCTGGCTGCAAAGGTCCCCTGATTCGAATCCACCTGTGCAGTGTGCATGTCGGGGGACATCCAAAAGGCCATGGCTCAGCCGAGGTGGGTCTTGGTTCTCAGTCCTGGGCCAGGTCTTTCCCCACAGCGGTGGGCAGCAAGGAGACAGGTGGGGCCACTGTGGCGGGCCCTCCACGGGCAAGTCACTCGCTTATGAAACCTCAGGACCTGCCTGAAAATGGGGCTGATAACTGGAATGGCCACCTGTGGGCGTGAGGGTGCTTAGGCACCTGCATGCTCTGAACCCCATGCCATCCCAGGGCTGGGCACAGGCCTAGAAAAAGAGCCACATAGACCTGGGCCTGCCTTGGCCACTTCCCACCCTGGGGTGGAGGGCAGGGGAGCCCTGCAGGCCCTGAGGGAGGGGGCATATGGCTGAGGTGGGCACCCACACCTTTTATGCCACTGAGTCAGCTCCAAACACAGAGCCCTGTGCCAAGTAGAGGGAGGGGCCCTGGTGGGCTATGCAGTCCTGCAGGCTCTCTGGAGCCCTTGGCTCCCCTCCCAGCAGCACCTGGAGGGGCTGGGAGGTCATCTGTTCATTCAGAGAACCTGGGCATATAGCCAGAGGTGGGTGCTCTAGTACCCTGGCAGCCTCCCTCTCTAACCATGGTGACAGTCCCTACCGGCTGCTGGGAGCTCCGGGTAGGACCGGGCAAGCTCTGCAGACTGTCGAGTTCCTGTCCAGGGCTGGAGGCTGTGTGCCCTGTCAGAAGGGGTCTTCTGCATGGCAGGGTAGTGGCAGCAATGGACATGGTGGTGTGTGAAGAGGGCTCAAATGCCACTCACCCCTCCTAGACCAACCTGTTCTAGGGCTTATTGCCAGCCCCCACTTCAGGGAGGGGCAGTGAGCTGGGGGGGGGGGGGGCGGGCACTCCACCCACCTAGCTGGGTCTTGGCTGGTCACACCAGGAGCTTCTACTTGCTCCCACCCACTCCAGCCCAATGCCTGCCCTGGTTGGTACTTAACTCCTCACATTGCCATCTCTCAACCTGCTGGGGTTAGTGCAACACAATGAACTACAAGCACAGGATGGTTGGAGTGAGAGGGGGCTTTGCAAGTGAGCAAATGCTCCAGATCTTTGAACACAGTCCCCTTTATTTGCAGATTGGTTCCCCAAGGTTACAAGTGGATTTATGTAAATTATTCCTTGAGATGGTGTCCCTGCAAACCATACAGCATAGCTCTGCCTCTCGCTTTTTTCTTTTTTGGGAGGAGAGTTTAAAGCTAAAAAATAACAAACCTGGGCCTATGGCCCGTTATCCTCGCTGAGTGGTCTTCCAACTCTTTGTCATGCAAACCTTATCTATTCACATGTATACAAGGCACTCATCAGACAGGGTGGTGTTCCTACCCTTCAGGCAAACCTTATCTGTCCACACCATACTTTGATCCTAGGCTGGCCAGGTTGGGAGAATGCATATCACAAGGTTACAAATCGTCCATCCACTAACCCCCCATCCCCACATCACATTTAGATACCTGGGGGCCCCTCTGGGCTGGGGTCTGACTCAGGTTCAGATTGAACTCACCTCTTTTTATGTTCACCCTCCTCTGTCCAACCCAGAGGGGGGGCAGGAGGAGAGGAGGGGAGTGATGAGGCTGGGGAGCTGGCTAAGAGCCATTCTGGGCGGAAGTCTTCTCCAGCTTCCTCCAGGCCTCCCCCAGGCTACTGGGGTAAGAGGAAGGGCTGCCCAGTAAGAATTTTTCTTTTCTGGTTGCCAAGTAGTCAGGTCAGGAAGTCCCTTGATTTCACAGCTCACCCCAGGTCTTGAAGGATGACCTGGGACACCCCCTCACCCCACTCCAGCCTGTGCTCCACCCAAGGGAAGCTGCCAGGATCCCCTCTCTCCCAGGGCAAGGAAGCCTCCCTCACTGGGGGCCTGGCCTTCAGTGATGCAGGTTATTTGCGAGAAAATCAGAAAGTCAGACAAGGGGAAACAGCACCACTCGGGGTCCATCAGCCGGAGAGAGCTCAGGCTGCTTGTAGATACAGACAGAACACGGACGGCTCCACGGAACAGGAGCTGCTGTGGGACAGGAGCTGCTGTGAGGCAGGTGCCGCTGGGGGACAGGAGCCGCTGGGGGACAGGAGCCGCTGGGGGACAGGGGCCGCTGGGGGACGGGAGCCCCTGGGGGACGGGAGCCGCTGGGGGACGGGAGCCGCTGGGGGACGGGGGCCGCTGGGGGACAGGGGCCGCTGGGGGACAGGGGCCGCGGGGGGACAGGGGCCGCTGGGGGACAGGGGCCGCGGGGGGACAGGAGGTGCTGGGGGACAAAGCTGCAGCAATGTGGCCAGTGCCCTCCCTCCTGCCCATCCCGTCAGTGGTGATCTGACCGTCCCCGGACTGCAAGCTTGCATCCGCGGGTGCTTTCATCTCTACAGCCACCCTGCGGGAGGGTTTCTGCGAAGGAACTCAGACCCCAGACGGGCAAAGTGGGCTCTTCATCCTGGGCTGCGGGTGGGGCGGTGGCCCCCAGGGAGCTGGGGATGGTGGAAATGCCCTCCCCCTACCGGTGGCGGTTGCCCCGGATGCTGTGGCGGGAGAGGCGGTGGTGGAGAAAAGGAACGGGAGGTGGCCCCGCGAGCCGGCGGGTCTGGGCGGCCCTCACGGACCTCTCCGTCCCCTGCAGACGCGGAGGCCGAGGTGCCCCCGGAGACCCTCTGCTTCCACGCCCAGGCCAAGGGCGCGCAGGTGCTCCTGGACGCCAGGCGGAGCACAGCGTACCGGCTGGCCACTTTCTGCGACGGCATCGTGTTCAGCCAGCGGCCTGTGCGGCCCGGGGAGCACGTGGTCCTGCGCGTGCTGGGGCACGAGGACCGCTGGCTCGGCGGCCTCCGCGTGGGTTTCACGCGCCTGGACCCTGAGAGCACGCCGGCGCCCAGCCTGCCCCCCTTCGTGTGCCCGGACCTGGAGCAGCGGAGCCCGACGTGGGCGGCCGTGCTGCCCGAGGGCTGCGCGCTGGCTGGCGACGTGGTCCGCTTCTGGGTGAACCGCCGCGGCCTGCTCTGCGCCCAGGTCAACGCGGGCCCGAGGCTCCTGCTGCGCAAGGGCGTGCCCCTGGGCTGCCCCCTCTGGGCCGTGATGGACGTGTACGGGACCACCAAGGCCATCGAGCTTCTGGGTGAGGCCATCCGCTGGGACCAGGCACTGCCCCTAGGAGGGAGGTGGGTGGTCAAGTGGCACTCTCCTCACATCCAGAGTCGTGGAGGGAGCCGCGGGGAGAACCATTCATTCATTCATTCATTCATTCATTCATATATTCATATTCAGTACATTTTCCATTAGCTCCTGCCAGTGTTGGGTATGGAGATGGGTGCTGGGGACAAAACCTAGGCATAGGAAGGGCAACCTGTCCATACAGATAAGACCAGCACCTCAAACATCAGTTAAAGAGCTAATCGCCTTTCACAACGGAAGAAATTTTGGGGTGGGGCTTTGCAGTTTAAGTAGGAGTTCACTGGAAAGGAGGGTGGCAAGTGAGGGAACATAAGTGTGAGGGGTAGAGGCGAGCAAGAAGACAGCCTGTGGGACAACGCTGAGATATACAGTCAGTGGATGGGAAACAAGATCATCCCTCTAGCCACCTGCAAGGACTAGATTTCAGGGGAGGGAGTATAGACACAGAAACACCCATAAGAAGAACATTGACCTTCCTGGGCTGGTGGTCCACAGTCTCCCCAGCACAGCCTGTCACAGCTGCTGGAGCCTCGCCCCTGGAGAGCCTGCTTTGATAGGTGTGGGGCGGGGCCCAAGTACCTGTTTTTCCCACTTCCTGGTGGATTTCCATGCTGAGTGATGCTGAGGGCTCCACTTGGGCCGCGGCAGTAGGGTAAAGAGGAGGTGTGTAAAGGAGGGGTGGTTTAGGGAAAGGATCCACAGCTCCACGAATTCCTTGCTGGCTTAAACTGGGAAAGGGATGGCTAGGATGGGGCCACTGGATTCGAGGGGAGCTCTCCCACACTGCCAGCTGGACAGAAAGACCATGGGTAGGCACTGCCTCAGCAGGGGCACAGAGCACCCTGGCTTTGCTCTCCACAGGCCTGAGTCTCCCTCTCTGCCCTAGATCCGGCTTCCAGTGCCTTCCCCACAGCCTCGCCCTGGGCCCTCCCTGACGAGACTCCATCTGACCCTGAAGGTGAGCGGTTTCCTGGAGCACCAGGGACTCCCCAGCCTCCAGCGCCCAGGGGCCAGGAAGGCCCAGCCCTGGGATCTCAGGAACATCTTTCAGGTCCCATCAAGTCTCTCACAGGCTTCAGACCAGTTGGCTCTGCCTACTAGACTCTAAAGCAGCTAACAAATCAGTTACTTTGTTACTTTCCCTGCTTTACAAAAGCAATCCACGTTCTAGTAAAAGCTTTGCCAAACAGGAATAAAAAATATTTTAAAATATTAAGAGATAAAGAAGGAAGTACAAAGAAAAAAGTCACCCATTGCTTCCTAGGTGGGTTTCCTCCCAGTCACACATATATGCATGTCTGTGCCTTTGTTCAGATAGAGTGGGAGGGAGAGGGAGAGAGAGACATCAACGTGAAAGGGACACATCGAGTGGCCACCACCCACACGACCCAACCAGGGCCGGGGACAAACTGCAACTGAGGTACGTGCCCTTAGCGGGAACCGAACCCGGGTCTCTGGACCGCAGGCCGATGCTCTAACCACTGAGCCAAACTGGCCAGGGCTGTGCCTTGTTTTCTTTTCTTCTAAACTGGAATTTTATGATATCGATACGTTATGGTTTTCTTACCAATTTTTTTCACTTGATTATATTGTGAGGATTTTCTCACGAGGTAGCATTTTCCCAGTATGATGCCTGGTTCTCTCTTCTGTGGCTATATCATGAGTAGGCTGCCCACCCCTCGACCCCGAACACGCCTGACCTGTGCTGTTCCCTTTCCCAGCCACAGCGGCAGAGGAGTGTGCCATCTGCTTCCACCATGCTGCCAACACCTGCCTTGTGCCCTGCGGCCACACACACTTCTGCGGCTGCTGCGCCAGGAGGGTCTTCAGGGACACAGCCAAGTGCCCCGTGTGTCGCTGGGAGATCGAAGCGGTGGTCTGGGCACGGGCCCCTCCTGCTCCGAGAACCGAACCAGGCCTCCCGGTGTGAGTGGCAGATTAGGCCTAGCTCTGAGCTGCTCTCTGCAGGGGGAGGGGTGCCGCCTCGTTCTGGAGAAAAGTCAGAAAGGACAGCAGAGAGGGGGAGCTGGGGACCAGGGCTCTTCCCCGTCCCCACAGCTTAGGGCCAGTGGTATGAGTAGCAGCCCCTTTGCTGTCCAGACAGAATGATCTCCGTGACGGAGCCTGGTTATAGGCAGTGGCTCAGCAATGGCCAGCGGGCTTGCGGTCCCTCTGCTTAGCTCCAGGTTCTTTTGTGCCCAGGTCTTGTGAAGGCTTTTGACTGGCCATTTGGCACAGCCACCGTTGACCTAGCAGTCCCTGGCAGCACACAAGTGTTGCAGAGGAGGATCTTTGAGCAGAGATGGGCGGCCTGAGCCCTGATTTGATAGCTGAGGAGGTTACAGTATCTGCCTGTGGCAGCCCTGCCCACGTGGGGATTGGGGAGCTGGACCAGCGCAGAGGGGCATCTGGGTGGAGTGTTTACAGTCGGTGTGGGAGCTGGGTCGCCACCAAGTCCTCAGTAAAGTGGGTCACTATTGCCCCTTGCAGCGTGGTTGTGAGGACCCAGTGAGATCAGCATCTGAAGATGAGCTAGCACACAAGAGGGCACTATTGTCATGGTGCTTGTTTCCCCGCCAATTTCTGAGCTATCAAAATAAAGCTCATCTTTTATGAATGATTTTGTAATGCGCATGCCCCTTTGATGCAGTCACTGGGAGTAGGGGGAGCCGTGGGCTGGTCAGGATGCTGGGGCATTTGGGGACACACCCGCCTGTCCTTCACAGACACGCTGGGCTCACAGTGGACTGGGCGGGGGCTCTGGACTCTCAGGCCTGTGCCTGAAGGGGACCGTCCTGCACTACCAGCCCTGGAGTCACAACCAGGCTTAGCCCTTGCCACCCTTGATTTGGGAGGAACTGTCTGGAAGCTGTAGCCCCTGAGTGAAAGGAGAGGCTGAGCTGGGAGCCCCGTCCAGCAGGCGTGTGCGGCAAAGCTCTCCCTGACCCCACTTTCTCTGCTCTGACAGGCGGGAGGCGCCCCTTGGAGGAGAGACCCATGAGTGCTCCAACCCTGGGCATGGGACTTGACCTTTGTGAGCCTCTGTTTCTTCATCTGCAAAGTGCAAATAAGATCGTTCCCTTTGATGGTAAGATGTGAGGATGAGTATGAAATGAGAGCTTAGAGGAAGTGCTCACAACACGGCAGCTGCCTTCCCCGGACCGGGGCTGCCGGGGGAACGGCCAAGCGGTCCCTGGGCTGGGCGTCCGGCCGAGGGGTGTGTCCTGGCAGGCCCCATCACCCCACTATTTTGGAATGATTCCTATTGATCCTAAAACAAGTTTTTTCTTCCTTTAGGTATCTTTTTCCCCCCCAGCTGGATACCTCCAGGGTGAGGGCATTACTTGAATCCTGTTTCCAGTGACTACCTCCTTATTGACACTAGGGAAACCTGACCTTAGAAATGATCCCTGACCAGAAGCGGACTTTCAGAATGGTGCAGTAAGGACTTCTGTAAATCTGTTCTTCCATAAAAGCAACAAAAACACTGGCAAGATTATCTACAGATCATACTTGGATATTAACCAGAGGCTAACAACAATCTGAAGAGGGTTATCAAGAGAAAACTGCTGAGCTTTGGTAAGAACAATGGATTTGTGGTGTTTGAACTTGGCCTACTTGCATCCCTCTCACCCCAGCTTCACAGCAGCCTTGTGGCCAGAGGGTCAGTCTGGGTGGGGCTCCTCACAAAGCTCCGTCACCAGGGCATCCATTTGTTCTGTGCTGCAGTTTCCTGGACAAGCTTCCCCTGTGGGGCGTTGTTACTATTGAACCCAACCTGAAGCTCTCCCCATGGGAAAACCCCTATTCCCAGGGTGTTCCTCAAACCTAATCAGCTTCAATTATTCACACTGTAGCTGCCCAAGCCCACGATTGCCCAAGACTGATAACAATTGGGACAAACAGAAGGGAAACATTTAACGGGAAGATCTGAGATGTGAAATGTTCTTAGGGGTGGTTGAAAAGCTCTGACATGTTCCTGGGGGTCTAGAAGACTGCACATGGCCAGGAAAGACCTGAAAGGGCCCGCTCCCTCAGTGCTGGCTTCGAGGGTCTGTGCAAGCAGGACGCGAAGGCTAAGGCAGACATTGAAAGCTCCTTGGCAAGGGGTAGATTTCCTTGCTCAAGGCATTTAAGGAAATCTCTGTCCAATCATTAGCTGACCATTAAGCTAACTGAGCAGAGACATCAGTGGCTGCACACCATAGGAAATATATACTTCACAAAATTAGTCCAGGCCATGCACAGGAAAAAATTAGTCACTAAAACGTATCCCTGAGGGAGGCTGGATATTGGACTGACAAAGACAAAGACTTTCCATCAGCTGTTATAAATATGTTCAAAGTACTAAAGAAAACCATGTGCAAAGAACTAAAGGAAAGCCCTGGCCGGTTTGGCTCAGTGGTTAAAGCACTGACCCTTGGACTGAAGTGTCACGGGTTTGATTCCCGGTCAAGGCACATACCTGGATTGCAGGTTCTATCTCCAGCCCCATTTGGGGTTGTGTCATGTGGGAGGCAACCAATTCATGTGTCTCTCTCTCATCAATGTTTCTCTCATTCTCTCTCCCTCCCTTCCACTCTCTCTAAAAATCAATGGAAATATTCTCGGATGAGGATTAACAAAAAGAAAAAGAAAGGATTAATCTTTAACCTTTCCTCCAATTGTCTAAATAGGAAAACTGTGGCCCAGGGAGGAGGAATCATCTTACAAATGATGGGACAAGAATTAGAATCCTCGCTACTTCCGGTCAAGACAGTGGTGCAGGTAAACGCGGTCTCACCTCCTCCCACAACCACATCAAAATTGCAGCTAAGCTACAACACAACCATCCTTCAGAACCGCCTGACATCGAGCTGAATGGAAGTCCTACAACTACAAAATTAAAGAAGCAGCCACATGAGACTGGTAGAAAGGGTGGAGGCGGGCGGGCTGGTCCCACACCCACGTGTGGTGGATAAAAATCAGGAGGACACCTCAGCTGGGAAAGTCCTCCCTGAGGAGTGAGGGGTCCCCATCCCACAGCAGGCGCCCAGCTCAGGGCTCCAGTGTCAGGAAGAGAAGTCCCATCACTTCTGGCTGGAAATACCAGCGGGAACTGAGGTAGAAGAAGGCTGTGGCTGCTGGAGCCCCAGGCAGCTCCTCTTGAAGGGCCCGCGCACGGACTTATCGGACTCTCTCCCTCTAAGCTTGGAGGGGAGGCAGCTTGAGGGGCGCCAGAGACATACAGTGAAGAGCTGAGCTGTTTGGCCTCAGTACGAGGGCTAGAGAGGACTTTCTCCTGGACAGACTTGCTGGCGGAAGCTGAGCCATATCTGGGACTCCAGCAACCTGGCTCACACTGTTGGCCCCGCCCTGGTAATTCCCTAAGGCCCCACCCCACCCAACTTTCGGGCCCACCCAAGCTGTTTCCAAAGGCTTTAGCATAGGACCAGCCTGTCTTGGGTCCTGCTTCAGAGTTTCCTAAAATCTCTAAAACAAACAGCATTTGGTCTCAGTGAGCCCCATACTTCTTGTTAATTGGCCTCAGGCCTGGCACTAGAAGCAGCCAGCCTTGGTTCACAACTTGGCTTTTCCTGGTCACTGCCAAGCCCAGCACAAGAAGCAGCTATCTGCAGATCACTTTGTAGCTTATGCCGGGTGGCCCTGGGTAGAACACAGGCAGTGGCTGACCTTGCCGCAGAGCCAGCACACCCAGTGGACAGCTCCAGACCACATCGAAACACCACCACCCAACCACCTCCACAAATGACACACTCAATGAGCAGACTCTATGGGTACCAGAGCCCTGATGAAGTAAGTCTTGCTCGGTGGGGTGGGCCCCTGCACAGGTGTTCCTCCAAGGGAGTCAGAGGCCAGAGGCCAGTGGGCACAGCCAGTCCTGTGATCCTTGCAGCTGATCAGTCTGAGTAAACTCCTCCCACTGATGTGCCAACAGCAATCAAGACTCAATTACAACAGAAGGGTGTACAGTCCACACTAGGGGTGCACCTCAAGGGCTCAGGTGGAGTGATCAGAGAGGCTGTGCCACTGGATCCTACAGGACACCTATGACAATAGGCCACCCTACGAAGCCTAGGATACATAGCAACTCTACCTAATACATAAAAACAATCACAGGGAAGCAGCCCAAATGAGGAGACAAAGAAACATGTTCCAAATGAAAGAAAAGAACAAAACTCTAGGAAAAGAATGAAACAAAATGGAGATAAGCAATCAACCAGATGCAGAGTTCAAAACACAGGTTATAAGGTTGCTCAGGGAACTTGGTGAGACCTTCAGGGACCTTAGTAGTGAGACCTTCAAGAAACTTAAGGAAACCTCCAAGGAACTTAGTGAGAACATCAACAACATAAAAAAGGACTGGTCAGAAACAAAGGATACACTAACTGAAATAAAGAATAATTTACAGGGAATCAATAGTAGAGTATGTAAAGCCAAAAAGCAAATCATCAATTTGTAATATAAGGAAGCAAAAACACCCAAGCAGAACAGCAAAAAGAAAAAAATAATCCAAAAAATGAGGATAGTGTAAGGAGCCTCTGGGACAACTTCAAGTGTGCCAACATTTGCATCACAGGGGTACCAGAAGGAGAAAAAAGAGAACAAGAAATTGAAAACCTATTTGAAACAATAATGACAGAAAACTTCCCTAATTTGGTGAAGGAAACAGACATACAAGTCCAGGAAGCACAGAAAGTTTCAAACAAAATGAATCCAAAGAGGATCACACCAAGACACATCATCATCAAAATGCCAAAGGTTAAATACAAGGAGAGAATCTTAAAAGCAGCAAGGGAAAAACAGTTTGTTACCTACAAAGGAGCTCCCATAAGACTGTCAGCTGATTTCTCAAAAGAAATTTTGCAGACCAGAAAGCAGTGGCAAGAGATATTCAAAGTGATGAAAAGCAATGACCTACATCCAAGATTACTCTATCCTGCAAAGCTGTCATTTAGAATAGAAGGACACATAAAGAGTTTCCCAGACTAGAAAAAGCTAAAAAAGTTCATCACCAGCAAACCAATATTATATGAAATGTTGAAGGGTCTTCTTGAAGGAGAAGAAGAACAAAGATATGAACAATAAAATGGCAATTAATACATATCTATCAACAATTGAATCTAGAAACAAAATGAGCAAGCAGAACAGAAACAGACTCATAGATACTGGGAACTTTTTGCTTTCCAGATGGGTGAGGGTTAGGGGATGGGTAAAAAAGATGAAGGAATTAAGAAGTACAAATTGGTTGTTAGCCTGATGAACCTCAAAGGGAAGGGGGGAGGGAGGGCAGGATTAGATAAATCAAAAAAAATTCTATTTATATATGCATAACAAATGGGCACCAACAATAGTGTGGGGAAGGGTGGAGGGGCGCAGGATTGAGGAGGAGGGGGTCAATGGGAAAAAAGGGGGGGGACATCTGTAATATATTCTAAAATAAAGATGAGTTTAAAGATGTTTTTAAAAAAGAATTAGAATCCTCATTATAACCACACTGACTCAATCATTTCTTCTTTCATTCATTAAATTAATTTTTTAAAAAATTAGCACCAGGTACTAGAATCCATCCTGGTATGAACACAGCCTCGTCTGTATCCTTGGGACACACCGGGGAATAAGCAATTATAGTACAGTGTGGTAAGTGTTACAATAGTCTCTACAAAGAGCTTTCCAACTCTGGTTCACGATAGCAGACTGGGTCCATATAGTTGTTTCTTTTTACTCCAATTCTCTATAAACTGCTCATAAGAGATCTAAAAAAATTCATATCCTCACTAGAAAATAATATAGGAAACAATCACCAAAAACCATTGTAAAAGATGAAAACCAGGTGGGCTCACATTGAGGATAGAAACCAGGGACCAAAGCCCCACAGAGGAGCTGCAACCGGGGGGAGCAGCTCTGGGGACCTTCCGACCCAGAACTGAACTGGGAGGAGGAGAGGACCCACGTGTGACTGACCAAGAATGGTTGGGGCATGACAGAATGGACAGCAGGAATGTTCATCTCGGGCCAGGCAGTGAGCCAGAGAGCTGTCTTCCCATGGGCGGGAGCAGGAGATGGGAAGTCTGGGTCAGAGAGGCATGACAAAGCCCCCCAGATTGACAGCTCCCTAAGGGAACAGAAACCTCTATATCCGGGAAGCTCACTATTGACTCCCCTTGTCCAGCAGCAGAGCTCATCTGTTTCTCACGATCACCGTGGATGTGTGGTGGTTCACACCTGCATGTCCTGCTCCATGTTGCAAGAACATCAGGCTAATAAGGAATCCCGGTTCCAAGGGAAGCTCACAGCCAAGAAAATCCAATTATCTGAGGAAAGCTAATACCATGGGGGGAAAGGCACCCAACTCAACAAGAGGAGGAGTTTTTACCTGAAAATTATAGAGTTAATAGAGAAGACAGACCTTGGTTTTAGAAAAACATAATTAGATGCAAAAGGATATTGCATCAAAAAATCTAGATACCTTGGAAATGACCTGTGCTCCTTCAGTCCAAGGGTCGTTGCTCTAACCACTGAGCCAAAGCAGCCAGGGCTTTTCCTGTAGTTCTTTACACATGGTTTTCTTTAGTACTTTTAACATATTTATAACAGTTGATGGAAAGTCTTTGTCTTTGTAAGTCTAATATCTAGCCTCCCTCGGGGACAGTTTTTAGTGACTCATTGAAATAAAATCAGTCCATTAGATGGAATGAGAAGCAGAAAGATTATAGCTAAAAAAATGAACTCATGATCTAGAATCAAACAGAATGCACTGCAAAATTCCAAAGACATAAAATTTACAAAAGGAAAGAGAATAGATGCAGAACTTGAAATATCTAAAATTCCAGAAGGAGCAGCTAGAGAAAATGGAGGAAAGAGAATACTCAAAGAAAGAATAGAGAACATTTTATATTAAGAAAGACATGACTTTTCAGACTGAAAAATCCACCAGATGCCAAAGAGAATATGTAAAACGAGATCTTCATCTTGTATCACACTGATGTAATTTCAGAGAATTGAGGATAAAGAGAAGACCCAAGGAGAAAAACGTAGATTGCATTCAAAAGAATGTGAATCAGCCCTGGCCGGTTTGGCTCAGCGGTTAGAGCGTCCACCTGCGGTCCGGAGAGACCCAGGTTCGGTTCCCGCTAAGGGCATGTACCTCGGTTGCAGTTTGTCCCCGGCCCTGGTTGGTCGTGCGGGTGGCAGCCACTCGATGTGTCCCTTTCACATCGATGTTTCCCTCTCTCTCTCTCCCTCCCACTCTATCTGTACAAAAAATGGAAAAAACGTCCTCGGGTGAGGATAAAAAAAAAAAAAAAAAAAAAGAATGTGAATCACATTAACAGTAGACTTTTCTCAACAATATGATGCTGAAAGACAATGAAATAATAGCTTCAAAATTTTGGGAGATTTTTTTAAATTTCACCTGAGAATATTTTTCCATTCATTTTTAGATAGAGTGGAAGAGAGGGAGGGAGAGACAGAGAGAGAGAGATCAGTTGGTTGCCTCCTGCATGACACCAACTAGGATGGGGATTGAACCTGCAACCCAGCTATATGCCCTTGACCAGGAATCAAAACTGCAACCCTTTGGTTTAGGCCAACACTCTAACTGCTGAGCCAAACCAGCCAGGGCAAATGCACAGTTCTTGAGTCTCCATTTGCTGAGGGACAATTTTGAAACATACACTTTTATAAGCTGCTACTCTCATTAAAATATAGGAACAAAATGAAAATTTCAGATATAATAAGACTCTGTTTTTTTATTTGCAGTTACTTAATGAAAGAACTGTTCAAGGAATTGATTCACAAAGAAGAAAAAAACAGAAAGTTAATGCAATGGTGATCAATAAAAGCAAAATAAAGTTGAGTCTACATGAATATTAAGTGTAAAAATAATAATAATATTTTTTAACAATATTTGGGCCTGGCTGGTGTGGCTCAGTGGTTGAGCATCATCCTGTGCACCAGGAGATCACTGGTTTGATTTCTGGTCACGGCATATACCTGGGTTATGCGCTCAATTCCTGGTAGGGGGCATGCAGGAGGCAGCCGACTGATGTTTCTCTCTCTCTCTCCCTCGCCCTTCCTCTTTCTAAAATCAATAAAAAGTAAAAAAATAATAATAATAATCTGGAATAAAAACCACAGATGATATCATGGGTAGAGTGGAGGGAAGCAAAAGATGCTAAGGTGCCTGGCCGGTGTGGCTCAGTGGTTGAGCATTGACCCATGCACCAAGAGGTCGCCAGTTCGATCCCCAGTCAGAGTACATGCTCAGGTTGTGGGCCCGATTCCTAGTGGGGGCATGCAGGAGGCAGCCGATCGATGTTTCTCTCTCTCTGTCCCTCTCCTTACCTCTCTCTCTCTCAAAAATCAATAAAGGAAAAAAAAATGTTAAAGTTCTTTTCTAATTAGGAAGAGGTAATTATTAACAATAAAAATGATCCCTGGCCGGTTTGGCTCAGTGGTTAGAGCGTCGGCCTGTGGACCAGAGTCCCAGGTTCTGTTCCCACTAAGGGCACGTACCTCGGTTGCCTCGGTTGCAGTTTGTCCCTGGCCCTGGTTGGGGTCGTGTGGGTGGCAGCCACTCGATGTGTCTCGCTCACATCGATGTTTCTCCCTCTCTCTTCCCGCCTCTCTTCCTCCCGCTTTATCTGAGGATAAATGCAAAAACGTCCTCGGGTGAGGATAAAAAACAAACAAACAAACAAAAAACCAATAAAAATGAGAAAAATGTAAGTTTAATTGATATGTTGAAAAACATACAAACAGAATATATAATTTCCAAACCATTGAAAAAAATACACAATTCCAATTTCAGCAATCCAACAAAAGTCAGGAAAGAAAAGAAAATAACAAAAATTAAAGAATCCTGGGTGGTTTGGCTCAGCAGGTAGAGCATCGGCCTCTCCCTCCCTCCCTTCCACTCTATCTAAAAATCAATGGGAAAATATCCTCAGGTGAGGATTAACAACAACAACAAAGGAAGTAGATAGGAATAAGTTCAAACAAAGCAGTATTCATAGTAAATGTTAGTCATCCTTTTTTTTTTTTTGGTACATGCCCCTAGGGGACGCTCTGGTCCGCAGGCTGATGCTCCAACTGCTGAGCCAAACCGGCCAGGGCTCCATAGTAAATGTTAATGAGTTAAATTCACTTATTGACAAGGATTTTCAGTTTGGGCAAATAAAATAATAAAAATAAACCCAAGAAATGAAATCTGGTTCCACCTGGTCTCTAAGAGGTGCACCTAAAACAAAGTCCAAAATGACTAAAAATTTTTAAAAAAGGAAAAGATACCAAGCAAATGTGAACATCGAGCAAACAGGTTGTGGCTGTCCTTGAGCGACTTGCCCGGGAGAGCCCTCAAGGCACAGCCAGGGAAGAGCCCAGGGCCTGAAGTACAGGTGCCAACAGGAGGGATCTGACTCAGAAAGAATTCAGATATCAGACCAGGAGGCCAGGCTCCCTGAAGGGTTGAATTTCTGCCGGATATGTGGTATTGGTTGTTTCTGATGCTGACGTGAGACCACAGTTCTATACTTCTCGGACATCTTACTCCATCCAAGACCACCACACCTTGGGCGTAGCGCTAGAAGACGTAGCAGGCAACCCTCACACCCTGTCTCCTTCTCTGGCACAAATCCTTTGATCTAGATTCTTATAAACCAAAGTAAAAGGTCCAAGTCATTATTCTTATTCACCATAAAAGCCAGATTAGACTCCTTAGTCTTCCCTACTGCTCAGCTGTAATGAAAACTGGAATTTAAGGAAAAAAGGGATTCTAGGGGATTCATATTGATAGGAGGAATAATCTGCTAAGAAGATATATAGTCTCAAATGTTTATACACCCATCAAGATATCTTCCTGATAAAAAGCAAAAGATGATACAAATAAAAGGTGAAAAATTTAAAAAGGCACAATCATAGTGAGACACTTTAGCATATCTCAGAAATTGAGAGATCAAGAAGACAAAAACTTAGTAAGGCTACAAATGATTTGAAGAGTACAGTTAATCTTTATCTAGTAAATGTATACAATATTTCACTCCTCAAACCAGAGGACATATATTCATTTCAAATATATCAAACAGTCATAAAAATGTTACATTAAACCACAGATTTTAAAAATAAAAATAAAATCACATGAGCTATATTCACTGAACACACGCAATATAGGATTAAAATTAATATACCAACAAAAGGGGACTATATCTAACAATATAGAGATTTAGCAAATGAACATGTGTACCGATACATTTACATGAATAAATGTGAAAATCTGGATGAAATGGATGACTTATTTGGAAAATATATAATTTATCTAAATTGGCTCAAGAAATAGAAAACCCTAATATTTAAATAACTCTAGAAGATTTGAAAAAAATAGTTCCCTAAAAAGCTTACAAGATTAACATCCAAAAATTAATAGGTATTGGTCAACAATAGCAATAACAAGCAGGTAGAAATAGCCAAGAAGACTGTGCTAGTGAATGGGGGGCGGAGCATCTGAAGTGGAAGGGGCTCAGATGCTGACAGTACTTGGGAACCTGAAGAAAACGTAGATTATCTGGAGTTAACTGAAGCATTTCTTAATTCTCAAAATGCTGGTAAAGAAAAAGATGGTACTGCCCTGGCCAGTTTGGCTCAGTGGTTAGAGTGTCGGCTCACGAACCGGAGAGGCCCGGGTTCGGTTCCTGCTAAGGGCATGTACCTCGGTTGCAGTTTGTCCCCGGCCCTAGTTAGGGTGTGCAGGTGGCAGCCACTCGATGTGTCTCTCACGTCGATCTCTCTCTCTCTCTCTCTCTCTCTCTCTCTCTCTCTCTCTCCCCTCCCCTCCCCTCTCTCCCTCCTGCTCTACCTGAAGATAAATGCAAAAATGTCCTCGGGTGAGGATAAAAAAAAAAGATGATACCAAAAAAAAAAAATCTTTATCTGCAGTGAATCTGATGATAGCAAACCAAAGAGGAAAGAGATGCTGCTGCCACACGAGGCTGCCGAGGTCTCGGTCCGGAAGGAACGAAGGTGCCACCGCCAGTGGAGAATCCACGTTTCCCTCGAAATGGAAGGAGGCAGATGAGGCGAATTGGGTGCTGGCAAAGGGGGCAACCGTGAAGGTCTCAGACTGTAATTGCTCTTCATGAAGCGAGGCTCACTTGGCATCCGTGCCCGGAAGACAGAGCCCAAGAAGAATCGTTTGCGCTGTGCGCCTCTCTATCATATATAATCTACTGTATGTATTTAAAATACATAAATATATAAAATCTGGGTCTTGGTATTTTATTGATTAGTGTGAAGAAATAACTGCATTCTAATAAAATCAAGTTTGATATGTCTGTTTTGAAGTCGCACTGGGGGAGGTGGGGCTGCACCTATAGCACTGGTCACTTTGAACAAAAGTTTTCTGTGGTCACTTCCTTTATCAGACATCTGATAGCAAGGTATAACCTTTCCTCTGCACTGGTGTGATAACTCCATTCTGACCCTCAGTTACTGCACGTACACACCCTGGCAGACTCTTTCTGGTAAACATAAGGGCCTTGAGAAACCCAAAGAAAACTATACAGATAAGGGGTTAATGATGACCTTGGGAGAGGAACCATGAGAAAAAGGAGATTAATGGTTGCCCCGACCTCTAACAAGCTCCTCTCTCCCCTTCTCTGTATCAGCCCCCTTAACGGTGCCAAAAGCAGCGTCAAGAGAATGTAGTTTTTTTCCCTGTAGTTTGTGCCTTTAAAAGCAGACAACAAAGAAGGCTCGGGCTGAGGATTTGGGGAGAGCCCCAAGCCGGCCTGTGTAATGAAGGGCTCCTTGCCAATTCAGCTGTGCGGCTCTGGCGATCTCGCCGACGCGTTACAACACTAGAAAACCACTCTTCTAAAGCTGGGGAAATTCTCGTCGTGATTCAGTCAGAACTAGTGTTTCACTCACATATGCCTCAGAATCATGCTCAGTTTTTTGTTTATTTGGGGAATTTTGGTGTGTGTGTGTGTGTAAATTGTTTAATACATATGTAAATTGTTTTCTTTCTTTTTAAAAAAAATATTTACCAAAACAAACCCAGCATGTCGCACCCACAGATAAGCACAGGTCTCTGGGCTGCCACCACTTCCAACCTAGGAAATAAACCACTTCAAGTTCAACTGAAGTTTTTCTTGAAGCTTTAATCTTTGAAATTAGGTCATTTGAGATCAATTGGGCAATTTCAATATAATGTAAGCAGTTTAAATTTGGCAGTTTAAAAGCAGCCGTATCAGAATCCATATCCATATCTACAATTGTAAATACAAGTTTATTTGCAAAACTTCTGAAAGGAAAATTTTATCACTACGAACAACCTCCCCACCCAAAAGAGTAAACTAGGCAAACCCTGGTGTGTTTACTTAGGCAAACAAGACTTACTTAAAGGTTCCTTTTAGTGAACCAGCCCCTTTAAAAGAAGTTGAAATCACAGTGCTATATATGACTCATGGAATGTGTTAAAACTTTGTTCCTGGAAACCTAATCAGATGGCTAGAGACACGGGCAACTCAGGACCTGCTAGAATAAACGGTGAACAAATTTTTGTAATCTAAAGTCTTAAATATTGATTGATTGAATTTAGAGAGAGAGCAAGGGAGAAAGAGAGAGAAAGATCAATTTGTTGTTTCACTTATTTATTTATTCAATTTGTTGATTCTTGTATGTGCCTTGATTGGGGATTGAACCCAAAACCTTGGCGTATCAGAAAGACACTCTAACTGAGCTACCCTGCCAAGGCTTATAATCTAAACTCGTTTCTTAAGATTTTTAAAATAGATTTTTAGAGAGAGAGAGGAAAGGAGAGGGAGAGGGAGAGAAACATTGATGTGAGAGTGAACGTTGATTGGCTGCCTCCTGCACACCCCTATTGGGGATGGAGCCCAGAACCTCGGCATGTGTCCTGACCAGGAATCGAACTGGTGACCTCTTGGTGCACAGAACAATGCTCAACCCCACTGAGCTACCTGGCCAGGGCTGTAATCTAAACTCTTTTTTTTCCCCCTAACAAAAGACTATTCATCATATGAACATGCTCGGTGTAACATGGAATGCAAAAGATTAGAACCATTAATAACATATCTAATATATACTTCAACTTTTTTATTTTTAATCCTGACCCAAGGATATTTTTACATTTATCTTCAGACAGAGTGGGAGGGGGAGAAAGAGAGATAGAGAGAAACATCGATGTGAGAGAGACACATCGACTGGTTGCCTCCTGTATGACTCCAGCCGGGGCTGGGGACCAACCACAACCGAGGCATGAACCTGAGGCTCTTTGGTCTGCAGGCCGACACTCTAACCGCTGAGCCAAACCAGGCAGGGCTAATAAAAATAAATAAAATCAAAACGGGATAGTGAGCAGAATAATAATACTATTATAACCACATTAAATAGAAAAGCTTCCATCAACATTTTTTAAATGTAACAAATACAATATGATACATTTTTTAAATATTCCACTCAATTTTATAATCCATTTTTCACAAAAGTGTTCCTCTGAAGAGAGGCTTCAGACACCCAAGAAAAGATGTTAAAAATACGTAATATGCCAGGATTTGCTAATTCACTGTTAAAAAGTACCTTAGCCTGGCTGGTGTGGCTCAGTGGATTGAGCTCATCCCGTGGACTGAAAGGTCCCATTCGGGTCAGGGCACATGCCCGGGCGAGGGGGCGTGCAAGAGGCAGCTGATCCGTGCTTCTCTCTCACATAGATGTTTCTATCTCTCTCTTCCTTCCTCTCTCTCTAAAAAACCAATTTAAAAAACCAGCCCTGGCCAGTTTGGCTCAGCGGTTAGAGCATCGGCCTGTGGTCCAGAAAGACCCAGGTTCGGTTCCTGCTAAGGGCACGTACCTCAGTTGCAATTTGTCCCCGGCCCTGGTTGGGTCGTGCGGGTGCCAACCACTTGATATGTCCCTTTCATTTCGATATTTCTCTCTCTCTCTCCCTCCCACTCTATCTGAACAAAACATGGGAAAATGTCCTCGGGTAAGGATAAAAAAAAAATGTATAAAGAGTACCTTATATTTGCTCTTAGGTACTTTAAATAAATGAGTATTGCCCGGCTGGTATGGCTCAGTGGTTTAGCATCGACCCATGCACCAAGAGGTCGCTGGTTCCATTCCTAGTCAGGGCACATGCCTAGGTTGTGGGTCCGATCCCCAGTGGGGGGCATGCAGGAGGCGGCCAGTCGATGATCTCTTTCATTGATGATTCTCTCGCTCCCTCTCACTTCCTCTCTCTCTGAAAATCAATAAAGAAAAAAATTAAAAATAAATAAGTGAGTATTATATTTCACACATAAGACAGGTGACACTTTGTCTACATTAGAATAATATAAACCTTTATTTTTTTTAAGAGACTTTTTTTTTCCTTTATTGATTTTAGAGAGAGGAAGGGAGAGGGCATCAGGTGGTTGTATCTTGTTTTAAGAGGTCATCACTAATCTGAGGTCAAATATTATCCTATTTTGTTTTCTAATTTTTTAAAAGGAATATAAAACTATTTATTGGCCACTGTTTACCAGGATTTACAATAAAATAAACAATATACAGTTGGATAACATTCTGTTTACTACAAAGTTATCGTTTTACCCGGCTTCTGATGAACCAGTAACCCAAATACTGAGACTGAGCCCACGTGCAAGGCCTGAGTTGGGGTGAAGAGAAAACATGCAGGTCGAGAGTTTAGGTCACAGGAGGAAGTGGGGCCGGCGCTGAGTCCACCCCCGAGAGGGGCACCGAGTGCTGGCTCCGCGGGCCTGCCCGCATCGGCTGGTGACAAGCGCCTGTTCGACCCCAGTCTGCACCAAGTGGACGGCAGCCAGAACCCAGCCGCATTGTCTCCGGCCGTCCCTCAGCACGCCCTGGGCAGCTGAGGCCGCTTTGTACTACTGCTGTAAATAGAGGGGTTTTTTAAGTACCAGGTCAGCTGACAGAGACCGGAGTTGTCAGTCCTGAACAATTTGTGAAATCCTTTGAGTACATGAAGAAATCTGGGGATTATTGTGTTACAGTTGTGGAAGATGTGACTTTAGGACAGACTGTCGCTATGGCAGCCCTGATGCTAGAACGTAAAAATACATAAAAGTGTGCGTTTGTGTGTGTAAATGCACAGTGAGGGATCTGGAAGGTTAAAAGAGGTCATCTTGAGCAAAGGACTGGGATGGGGAGATGTGATTGAGGGGAAATTTAAATTTCACTGTAATGTTTGACCTTTTTTTTTTTTCCCACAAGAACAATGTTTCTCTCTCTATTAAAAACAAAACAAAACAAAAACAGCTGCTTTGGAAAATAGTCTGTCATTTCCTGAAAAGGTTAAATATAGAGTTACCATGTGATTCAGCAATTCCATTCCTAGATATACACCCGAGAGGATTGGAAAGATCCCTCATATAAGTATTTGTGCTTGAATGTTCACAGAGCAGTCATTCATAATAGCCCCAGAGCAGAAGACAACGCATGCCCGTCGGGTCTTGGCCGGACAAACTAAGGTGATCTATCTTCACGATGGGGTATCACTTGGCCACGAGGCAGGAAGGAGGTGCTGACTCCTGCTACAAGGTGAATGACCCTTAGAACATGCTAAGAAAAGGGAGCCAGTTCCAAGAGGCCACACAGTGTGTGATTCATTCATTCGAAATGCCCACAGTCGGCAAATCCATAGACAGAAAGTAGATGTGTAGGTTAAAGGAGCTGGGGAGAGGGAGCAATGGGGGTGATAACTGTGGAGCATGGGGTTTCTTTTTGGGGTGAGAAAAATGTCTAAAATTGATTGTGCTGGAAGATGCACAACTTTGTGAACAAACCACTAAACTGCACGATTTGCAGGGATGGATACTGTGGTATGTAAATGATATCTTAATTTTTTTGTTTGTGTTTTGTTTTGTTTTTATCCTCACCCGAGGACATTTTTCCATTTTTTGTTCAGATAGAGTGGGAGGGAGAAAGAGGAAGAGAGAGAGAGAGAAACATCGACATGAAAGGGACACATCGACTGGCTGCCACCCGCACGGACCAACCAGGGCCGGGGACAAACTGCAACCGAGGTACATGCCCTTAGCGGGAACCGAACCCGGGTCTCTCTGGACCGCAGGCTGATGCTCTAACCGCTGAGCCAAACTGGCCAGGGCTTTTTGTTTGTGTTTTTACAGGTTAATTTTTTAAAATCATCTGAGGATATTTTTCCATCCATTTTCAGATAGAGTGGGAGGGAGAGGGAGAGAGAAACATTGATGTAAGAGACCCATCGACGGGCTGCCTCCCGCACGACCCCATCCGGGGCTGGGGACAAACCACAACTGAGATACGTGTCCTTGACCAGAATCAAACCCACGACTCTTTGGTTCTCAGGCCAATGCTCTAACCGCTGAGCCAAACCAGACAGGGCTTAATTTTTTAATTACATAAAACTAAAATAGACAAAAAAAGAAGTACTACTGGGAGAAAAAGAGGAAAAAAGTCTTAGCCCTGGGAGCAGGAAGAGCAAAGAGGAAGCGGCATTTGAACTCGTCACAGGTCACACGGCTGTTTGGGGAGAGGAGGGCAGACCGGTGCTCTGCACAGGGGCACAGCGCGTGCTGAGCAGGCGGCGTGGGGAGGAAGAGGGGTCACAGTGGCCTAAGCAGGAGCCGGAACCCATGGGGAAGGTGGCTGAGGCCAGCAGTGGGGTAGCAGGGGACAGGGAGGAGCCTTTGCCATCAAGCTGGTCTTGGGAGGGCCAATCTGTCCGGAAGGCCGTCGGTCAGCTGGCCTGTCTAGGGGACAATAGACTGCTGCTAAGTTTCATTTTCCCAGAAGTCCACGAATTAGCGGAGATGGGGCACTGGATCAAAGCAAACGGCCGGAGTGTGCAGTGAACCACTGTAGGGAAAAGGAAAGTAAAAGTGTAACTGAGGACTATCAATGTTGGCATCAGCAAGAAGCCAGCCTGGGCCGGGTCCAGGACACGAAGCGGGCTTTCCTGGAAACTGGAGAAAAACCCCCTTGTCCAGGTGGATTACAGCATTGGCTGCCTCTTAGTCATCTGGAGTATGGGGAATAACAGCCGCCCCTGGGGACCAGGTTCACTGTGTCTCCTGCCCACCCCCCCACAGGAGAGCGCGCTCACACACACACTCACGTGGTCCGGATGCTTCCTTCAGAGGGGCCTCTGCCAGCACTGTCACCGCCCTCCGCCCCCAGCACTGCATGATGAGCTGTGCAGGAAAGTCCACTCTGAGTTCGCAGCCAAGGCAGGGAGGGTGGGGGACACTGTTCCTGGGCCCCGGCGCAGGTCAGCTCTGTGGACCTGCACACCACAGCCGGTGCTCTCTGCCAGCTGTCAGCTCCCTGACCCCTTCCTTTGAAAGAGGAGGAGGTGGGCGCCCCTTGTGAGCCTGGAGGTGGGGTCTCTGATCTCCTGGTGTAGCCAGCCTGTCACTCTGGCTTAGATCTGCAGGAAGTAGGTGGGCCACAGCAGACGGTAATAGTCCCATTTTATAGCCAGGAAGACTGAGGCCCAGACACTGAGTTGCCCAAGGCCATTCAGCAGTCCACCGTGTTGTCTCACTGGATCCTGACACTGCTGCCTCAGGCTGTGCCATTGATGATTTGACATGTATGCAGATCACCAGGTAGATACCACCTCTTCCCATCCCCCCAAAGTTCCCACCAAAAAGGAGGCAATTTGGACACAAATATGGATTTCAATGAAGGGCCGACAGTGAGAGCCCTTCCCAGTCTCCCTCCGGGGCCCCGGCCATCTTTCCGGCTCCCTCGCCAAGACCCTCCCGACTCCCAATGCTCCCCCTGGGTCCTGCTGGCTGAAGGGAGGATCAACTACATTTGCTCCTCAACTGTCCCCTCATAGAGTGTGTGGTCCTGTGGTTGGCGCCCCCAAGAACCCTGAGCTCCCTGGCTGAGAGGCCCGAGGCTGGGGTTCTCAGCTCCGTGAATCAGAAATCGCGTGGACGGGGCGGGGGAACCGGTTGAGACCAACATGAAGCAGCCCCGCTCCAGAACGCCCTCCTAGCCGACGTCTTTGAGCGGGTGCTGGGCTCACAGGGCGGCACAGATCGCCCATCACACAGATGTGCCCTGAAGCCTATGTCACCCCGTTAACCAATGTCACCCAATACATTGAATTAAAAAAAAAAGAAAGAAGCCCTGCTGAGACCTGTGCTGCGGGGAGCGTGGGTGGCTGACCCGGTGGGCAGGCCACTCCGGCGGGAGGCAGGATGCCCGCAGGTGCCGTGACTTGAGGCTGCCCGTCGGCCGGCCAGCCCTCCTTCCCGCCCTGCCTGTGTCCTCTCGAGGTCTTCCCTCCGCGTGTGCCTTGTCCTAACCTCCTCCTGCTGGAGGGACCCAGTCAGATTAGATCAGGGCCCATCCAGCAGCCTCATTTTACCCTGATTACCTCTTTAGAGTCCCATCCCCAAATACAGCCACATTCTGAGATATTAGGGGTTAGAAATTCAACAAAGGAATTTGGGGGGGACACAATTTAGCCCAGAAAAGAAAGCAAATTCTGGGTAGGCATGTGGCAGGCAAGGAGGACATTGTGCCCTGCCAGGGCAGCTCCTGGGCTTTACCAGGTGGGGGCTGCAGGTACACTCAGAGAGTGGGTGCTCAGACCAGCCTGAGAGCCATTAGCATCCAGGTGTGGCCAGGGCTGAATGATGGAGCGGGGCCAGTTGGCTTCCTCCCTGCAAGGTCTGGAGGCAGGAGCTGGGAAGAGGTCTGTCCATGTTGGACATGGTCTGCACAGGTTGCAGGGTGGTTGGGGCTGCTTTTGGGGGCTTCTGAGGAGGGTCCATGCTCGTCTCTGGGACTTCTCCTCCCTCCTCTAGCTGCAGGGCCTGGTCTAAACCTTGCAGCAGGTCCCTCCCGAGGCCAAGTCCTTTGCTCAGTGTTCTGATAGCGCTGCTTGAGGTGCAGGAGCCAGAGAGGCAGAGTGGCCCTCCTCATGTGACGGTAAAAGGCCCAGGTGCCCCAAGTAGGCACAGGGGGAGGTGGTCAGAGCCTATGCCAATGGCTCCCAAACTCTAGTAGACCTTGGAACTACCAGAGAGTGCTTGTGAGAATGCAGAGCTCCAGGCCACACCCCAGGATTCTTTCCCACAGAAAGTGAGCCCAAGAGAGTGAGGATTTTGTCTGCTTAGTTTATGGCAGGATCCCCACCAGCCCCAGGACAGAGCCTGCCACGGACAGCACTCAGACCCGGGAATGATTTGCTAGGCCATGGATGGCGTGGCCTGGGAATCTGAATTCTTTCTTTTTTTTTTTCCCCTCACCCAAGGACATTTTTCCATTTTTTGTTCAGATAGAGTGAGAGGGAGAAAGAGAGAGAGAAACGTCGACATGAAAGGGACATATCGAGTGGTTGCCACCCGCACAACCCAACCAGGACCGGGGACAAACTGCAACCGAGGTACATGCCCTTAGCGGGAACCAAACCCGGGTCTCTCTGGACTGCAGGCCGACGCTCTAACCGCTGAGCCAATCCGGCCAGGGCGAATCTGAATTCTCAAATACTTTCAGATGGTTCTGATGTAAGGAGTGACTGAGCCCCATATTCTGCCTCTGGAAGCTGAGGTCCCTCCTACTTAGTGATCCCTTCCAGCTGGAGAGGAGGGAGGCTTAGAAGCCCTCGCCCACAGAAGAACTGCCGAGTTCAGACTGGTCAGCCACCAGCTGGGCTTGCTCAGTGGTGTGGGGGCCACAGCTGGACAGGTGACTTGTCAGAAGGGGTGGTATACAATCTTGAGAAGGAACAGAGCCGGAGGCATCACACTTTCTGAATTCAAACTACATTCTAAAGCCATAGTAATCAAAACAGGATAGACTGGCATAAAGTACCATGGCTAAAGAACATGTGATATACACTACTCCATTCTGCACATACGTTATACACGTATAATGGAATACTATTCAGCTGTGAGAAAGAAGGAACTCCAACCATTTGTAACAACTGGGAAGGACGGTGAGGGCATTATGTAGAGTGAGATAAGACAAAGACTATATGATCTCACTTATGTGTGGAATCTGAAAATACTGAATCCATAGAAACAGAGAGTAGAATGGCGGGTGCCGGAGGCTGGGGGTGGGGCGTGGGGTGGCGGTTTTCACAGGGTGCACTGTCAGTTCCAGGCTGTGCAAGTTCCATGCATGTAACGGGCAGCACGATGACTGCAGTTCACAGTACTCATGAGAAAGTAGCTATGAGAGTAGAGTTTTAATATTCGCACCATCACAACAACAAATGTAATTACACAAGGTTAAGGATGAGTTAACTAATCTTATTGTGGTGAACATTTCATAATAAATACATGTGTCAAATAATCACATTGTATATCTTCAATTTTTACAATGTTATGTCGATTCTATCTCAATAAAGCTGGGGGAAGAGGTAGTGTCTCTGAGTGTGAGCGTGTGGGTGTATGTGCTCATTGTGTAGATGTGAGTGTGTGAGCATGTGTGAGTGTGCAGATGCGTTTGAGGGTCGTGAACGTGAATGCGTTTCATTCCCGAGCGGCAGTCAGGGTTGCACACCTCGCTGGGGGGGGTCTCTGCAAGCCAAGCCACGTGAGCAGGGGGGCCTCAGCGGTCCCTGCGGCAGGGGCTGAGTCAGAACGGAGGGCCGGCTTCCAGCCCTCTGCCTGCCTTCCCTAGAGCAGTGCTCCTCAGAGCATGACTCCTGATGTGGTGCAGCGGGAGCTGGGGCCGAAGCCGCTCTGGAAGGCAGGCCGAGGCTGTCAGGCCGGGGCAAGGGGCTCAGGTGATGGGGAGCAGCGTGGGGCACCGAGCTCTCAGGAGCATGAGGATGAAACGAGAGTACAAAGGTACAAGGACAAGGTGATTCTGATGTCCTGGAGGGAGGTGCTCCGAGGAAAGGGGCTCAAGATTGCAAGGCTCAGGAGGACTCCTTGAAACAGAAGTCTGAACCCCCTGACCCCTTAGTCCAACAGTCCATCTAATAGGCTTACTCCCACAGTAATAATATAATCAACATTTCCTGAGCACCTACTATGAGCCAGACACTGGAGTAGCTGTGTCCTCACAGTTCCGTGATGTGCGTGTGTTATTATTACCCCCTGGTGCAGCTGAGGGCACTGAGGTCCACGAGGAAGGGCCAGATCTGGGATTGTTAGCCATGTAACCTTGGCCATGTTACTTAGCCTCCCTGAGGCTCAGTGTTCTCAAATGAAAATAAAGACCACAGCAGTACCTACATCTTGGGGGCATTGGAGGGTCCCCAGTGAGTTACACATGTGGAAATTCTAAGAACAGGCACAGACTCGAGCCAATCCAGTGTTCGCTATCACACAGACTGGTTTCTGAGTCAGGAACACTGACAGGAAGACCTTGAAATGGACCTTCAAGGAGGGGTGGCTGGAGGCTGAGCAGGAGGAGACCCTCTGGAGGCCCAGGAGACTTTATAACCAACAGGACTACTTATTTACACCTGGAATCATGTCCTGGGAGATCTGGATGGCTTGCTTAAAATCAGCTAGTGGAGCCCGGCCAGTGTAGCTCAGTGGATTGAGCAATGTCCCATGGACTGAGAGGTCCCGGTTCTATTCCCAGTCAGGGCACATGCCTGGGTTGCGGGCTTGCTCCCCAGTGTGGGTGAGCAGGAGGCAGCCATTGGATGTGTCTCTCTCACATCGATGTTTCTATTTCTCTCTCCCTTCCTTTCGCTCTAAAAAATCAATAAAAACATATTTAAAAAAAAAAATCAGCTAATGGAGACTTACATGCTTCGAAGATGGAGTAACAAGAACTAATTGCCCTCCCGGCTGAAACAACTGAAGAAAACAAAAACAAAAACAAAAAAGCCCACACAGGTCCAGCTGGTGTGGCTCAGTGGTTGAGCGTCGACCCTGCACCAAGAGGTCGCTGGTTCAATTCCCGGTCAGGGCACATGCCCAATCCCCAGTGGGGGGCGTGCAGGAGGCGGCCAACAGATGTTCTCTCTCATCGATGTTTCTATCCCTCTCTCCTCCCTTCCTCTCTCTCTAAAATCAACAAAGGGAAAAAAAAAAGCCCACACAGACAAAATATATACAACAGTGTTTTTGAAGATGCTGGACAGTAGACAATGAAAGGCAGTAGTCCCTGCGGAACGGAGAAGCTGTGAGCCCTCAGATGACAGGCCTCAGACCAGGAGATCTGCAAACCACATGTCCGAGCAAAGGCTCCATTCCAGAATAGAACTCCCACAGTCAACACTGAGAGAGCCAACAACCACAGTTATAAAAATGAGCAAACAATTTGGAACTTTCACCAAAGACGCATGGATGGCAAGCAGGCACATGAAAAGATCCTTAACACCATTAGTCATGAGATAACTACAAATGAAAACCACAGTGAGATGTCACTATATACTGATTGGAATGTCTAAAATTAAAACAACTTAATATGCCAAGTGCTGGCAAGGACAAGGGAAGCTCACTGCTCATACGTTGCTGATGAGAATGTAAAATAGGGCATCCACTTTGGAAAACAGTCTGCCCGTTTTTTTTTTCTTTCGTTTTTTTTATCCTCACCCGAGGACATTTTTGCATTTATCTTCAGATAGAGCGGGAGGGAGAGAGGGAGGAAGAGAGAGAGTGAAACATCGATGCAAAAGAGACACATGGACTGGTTGCCACCTACAGGACCCCCACCGGGGCTGGGGACAAACTGCAACCGAGGTACGTGCCCTTAGCGGGAACCAAACCTGGGTCTCTCTGGTCCGTGCACGCTCAACCACTGAGCCAAACCAGCCAGGGAAGCAGTTTCTTAAGTTAGACTTACGCCCACCTTATGACCTAGCCATTCCACACCTCGCTATTTGCTTAAAGAAGAGAAACAGACACCCACACAAGGACTTGCAGCTTTAGCTGCAGTTGCCCAAACTGGAGACAATGCAAGTGTCCATCGACAAGCGGACAGGTAGACATGGGGCAGCACGTTCACACACTGGACTAGTGGGCAATACACAGGAGTCAGTTATTTATTTATTTATTTATTTATTTATTTATTTATATTCTCACCTGAGGACATTTTTCCATTTTTTTGTTCAGCTAGAGTGGGAGGGGGGGAGAGAGAGAGAGAGAGAGAGAGAGAGACATCGATGTGAAAGGGACACATCGAGGGGTTGCCACCTGCACGACCAACCAGGGCCGGGGACAAACTGCAACCGAGGTGCATGCCCTTAGCGGGAACCGAAACCCAGGTCTCTCTGGACCCGGGCCAACGCTTTAACTGCTGAGCCAAAGCGGCCAGGGCAGGAGTCAGTTATTTATTATAAAAGCAACAACATGGACGGATCTCAAAATAATTATGGTGAGTGAAAGGAGACAGACAAAAATGTCTAGAAAATGCAAACAAATCTCTGAGTGGAGAGAGGGCAGGAGGAACCTTTTGGGAGTAATTACTATGCCCATGACCCTGACCGCAGTAGTAGTTTTGCAGGTGTATCTGTAAATCAAAGTCTGTTAAATTGTACAATTTAAGTGTGTGCAGTTAATTTTATGTCAATTACACCGCAAAGCTGGTTTTTAACATCCAGCAGAGAGTATTTCTCCTCTGCGGGGAAGCTGCAGCCTGGGAGACAGGCCCGAGGCACGCCCAGGCCCGAGGCACGCCCAGGCTGCAGGAGGGGAAGGCCAGGCGCCGGGCCCCAGAAAGGACGCCATTCCCTGCACCGCACTGCCACCTGCTGGCCGAGGCAAAGCCTCTGCGTGCTCGGCAGCTCGCCGACCCGAAGGATCCTGGACACTGCTGCCCCAACCAGATACCTAGAGGGCCAGTGGGCACTGCAGCTGCGAGAGGGTGGCAGTGATCGGGCAGGTAGGTAGCAGGGCCTGATGGGGACCGTGGGGGACCTGGGGGGCAGCCACTGTTCAGCTCCATACACTGGCCAGAACCAGGGCCCAGTGTTGCCACACTTTCTTCTTTTTTTGAAAAAGAGCAGAAATCTAGGTTTGTATGGGAAATCTTCCAAATTTTTAATGGCAGACTTGTTCACTGGTTGGCTATATTAAAACACGTCATGGGCCAGAATCAGCCTGGGGAAAGCCAGTGTGCAGCCTGTGCCAACACCTTGCATTTTCTTCCCAGGAGCCAGCCTTGGGGCCAGAGGCCGGGCTCACTGTCCTTGCTGACACGAGGAAGGAGCCCGGGCGGGGACAAGCTGTCTGTCCACGGAGAACAGTAGGTTGAGGCTATGCCATGACCGGTCCTTCCTACATGTGAAGTTAAGGGTCTGTCACTGGGGAGGACTGAGGGGAGAACTAATAAAGGACCACGGACGACAAGTTCTGAACACCCAGCAGGTGCCAAGGCCACAGACCACGTCCGCAAAGAGAATCCGCTCCAGCTTTCTCCTTTTCCTTCCAGCCGCACGGCACTGGAGTGGCCCTGTCCTCCCGGGGGGCCTGCGGCAGGACCAGAGCACCTCGAAAGCCAGGACAGTCCCTGCAGAGGGCCCCAGCCACCACGATGGGGCACCCGCTGTACAGCCCGTCTCCCAGGGCAGGAAGGAGGGCCAGGGCTTCTGCAGGGGGTCTGCCAACCTCTCTGGTGCCTCTTGCCTGACCCTAGGCCTCCACGCTGGGCCGTCGTTGCCTGGCAGGCCTAGGCCAGAGGCCACCAGGGCTCTGACTTCCTAGAGCAGGTGATGTGGCCGCCTGCTCCAGGATCTAGGCCTCTAAATGGCCATGAAGCCACAAGGATGCACTCAAGTGGGTCCTTTGGAGGCGAAGGTGGTGCAGGTCTTTCTTTGGAGGTCAGTGGGTCATTGCCCATCAACCACAGTGGGAGGAGGGGCCATATCCTCAGGTGGGGCACCTGGGTCTGCTCGAGAAATAACAAGAAAGCCGAAGGGCTCTCCCAGAGGAGACAGGGATGAGTTAAACAGAAAACGATTCAAGCTCGGCTGGTGTGGTTCAGTGGACTGAGCCTCATCCTATGGATTGAGAGGTCCTGGTTTGATTCGCGGTCAGGGCACATGCCTGAGTTTCAGCTCAATCCCCAGTAGGGGGCGGGCAAGAGGCAGCGATTGATGTTTTTCTCTCACATCAATGTTTCTCTCTCCCTTCCTCTCTCTCTAAAACATCAATAAAAACATATTTAAGAAAAAATTTTATCCAAGACACTGGTTAAAGAAGGGCAGGTAAGGCAGACTTTATTTAGGGGGCCAGAGTGATGGGTGTTGGGACCACTGCAATGTTGGGTTTTTTTTGGTTAATCTTCACCTGAGGATATTTTTCCATTGAGTTTTATCCTCACCCGAGGACATTTTTTTTCCCATTTTGTTCAAATAGAGTGGGAGGAAGAGAGAGAGAGAAACATCAATGTGAAAGGGACACACTGAGTGGCTGCCATCCGCACGACCCAACCAGGGCCGGGGACAAACTGCAACCGAGGTACGCACCCTTAGCAGGAATCGAATCCGGGTCTCTCTGACCTCAGGCCGATGCTCTAACCACTGAGAAAAACTGGCCACGGCTTTCCATTGATTTTTTTTTTTTTTTTTTATCCTCACCCGAGGACATTTTTCCATTTTTTGTACAGATAGAGTGGGAGGGAGAGAGAGGAAGAGAGAGAGAGGAACATCGATGTGAAAGGGACACATCGAGTGGCTGCCACCCGCACGACCAACCAGGGCCGGGGACAAACTGCAACCGAGGTACATGCCCTCAGCGGGAACCGAACCCGGGTCTCTCCGGACCGCAGGTGGACGCTCTAACCGCTGAGCCAAACTGGCCAGGGCTCCATTGATTTTTAGATAGAGTGGAAGGGAGGGAGGGAGTGGAGGGAGGGAGAGAGAGAGAGAGAGAAAGAATATCAATGTGAAAGAGACACATTGATTGATTGCCTCCAGCACGACCCCTACTGGAGCTGTAGGGGTCCAGGGATCGAACCTGCAACCCAGGTGCATGCCCTTGACCAGGAATCAAACCTGAGACCCTTTGGTCTGCAGGCCAACACTCTAACCACTCAGCCAAACAAGCCAGGGCTTAATTTGTCTTTTGTAGTTTAATTTGCAGGACTTGGGCACAGAACCTAAGAGGATAAGAGGGAAAGTTTCCCTCACCTATACAGTAAAGTGCTCATTCTACCCAAGAGAAACGACTTTAGCCACAGTTAATGAAGAAAGCCCTGCCGTAACCCTGCGCCCACGCCAGTCGCCCCGTCAGGCCCGCCTCACACAACAGTGTCTGCTCTAGTGATTGCTGGAGGGAGAGCACTGCCCACCTACGGGGCCGCTGTCAAAGGCTCAGTCCCCCTGGCCCAGCCTTTGCCCAGAGGCGCCTGTGTGTGTTTCAGCTCACTGCTTTATGCAAAGTCAGCAAACTGGGCAGTGCGCTCCCCTCGCCATGCCGACTGTCAGCGTGAAGCCTGACCTGCTCTTCAAAGCTTTGGGCCGGACCTACACTGACGAAGAATTTGATGAACTATGTTTTGAATTTGGCCTGGAACTTGATGAAATCACTTCTGAGAAGGAAATTATAAGTAAAGAACAAGGTATTGAAAAGGCAGAGGGGGCATCTACTGTCGTTCTTTATAAAATTGATGTCCCTGCCAATAGATGTGATCTCCCGTGTCTGGAGGGATTGGTTCGAGGACTTCAAGTCTTTAAAGAAAGGATAAAGGCTCCAGTATATAAACGGGTAATGCCGAATGGAGAAATCCAGAAATCGATCATCACAGAAGAGACAGCTAAAATACGCCCTTACGCCGTCGCAGCAGTTCTCCGAAATATCAAGTTTACTAAAGATCGCTATGACAGCTTCATTGAACTTCAAGAGAAGCCGCATCAGAACATTTGCAGGAAAAGAGCATTGGTTGCTATCGGTACCCATGACTGGGCACTTTGTCAGGCCCATTTACTTTTACTGCGAAGCGACCTTCGGATATCAAATTCGAACCTCTAAATAAGACAAAGAAGTGTACAGCCTGTGAACTGATGAACATATACAAGACTGACCACCACCTTAAACATTACTTACATATCAGTGAAAATAAACCTCTGTACCCAGTTATCTACGATAGCAATGGTGTCGTCCTCTCAATGCCTCCAATCATCGATGGAAATCATTCCAAAATAACAGTAAATACTAGACATGTATTTATCGAATGCACAGGAACTGACTTTACTAAGGCAAAAATAGTTCTTGATATTATTGCCACCATGTTCAGTGAATATTGTGAGAATCAGTTTACGGTTGAAGCAGCTGAGGTGGTTTTTCCTAATGGAAAATCATACACCTTTCCAGAACTGGCTTGCCGAAAGGAGATGGTGAGAGCTGACCTAATTAACAAAAAGGTTGGAATCAGAGAAACTCCGGAAAATCTTGCTAAGCTTCTGACCAGGATGTACTTAAAGTCAGAAGTCACTGGCGATGGGAATCAGATTGAGACTGAAATCCCTCCGACCAGAGCAGACGTTTTCCATGCATGTGATGTTATAGAAGATGCAGCTATTGCCTATGGATATAACAACATTCAGATGGCTCTCCCGAAAACATACACCGTAGCTAATCAATTTCCCCTTAATAAGCTCACGGAACTTCTAAGACATGACATGGCAGCTGCCTTCTTCACCGAAGCACTTACATTTGCTCTGTGCTCCCAGGAAGATATTGCTGACAAACTTGGTTTGGACGTCTCTGCCACAAAGGCAGTCCATATAAGTAATCCTAAAACAGCTGAGTTTCAGGTGGTGCGCACTACCCTTCTTCCTGGCCTCCTAAAGACCATAGCAGTGAATCGGAAGATGCCTCTTCCTCTTAAACTGTTTGAAATCTCTGACATTGTAGTAAAAGATTCTAGCAGAGATGTAGGTGCAAGAAACTACAGGCTGTTGACTACAACAAGAATCCTGGGTTTGAGATCATCCATGGGCTGCGGGGCAGAATCATGCAGCTGCTGGGCGTGCCTCCCGGAGAAAAGCAGGCGGGATATGTGAAGAGCATCCGAAGGCCCTGCTTTCTCCCCTGGGCGGTGTGCTGAGATCTTTGCCGGGGGCCAGAGTGTTGGGAAGCTGGGTGTCCTGCATCCTGATGTCATCACCAAGTTTGAACTGACCATGCCCTGCTCCTCCCTGGAAATCAACACTGAGCCCTTTCTGTGAAGATGGGTCTCTGCCGTGTGGTTCTCTCTCCCAGTGTCCCTTTCTCCTCCCCGGCGTCCTTTAGTTGTTAAATAGACAGAAAGCACAGTCTCCTCGTGGGTAAATCCCGCACATTCCCCGCATCAGGCCAGCTCGTGTGAAAACGAACGTGCTGTTTGGGAGAGTCCAGTATGCCCGCGGGATGCGCCAGCAGAGGGCGGGCCGTCCTGAAATTCAGACGCTGCTTGGACACGGGAGCCTCGCGCTGTGGGCAGTGTCACTGCTGCGGAGCAGGGCCTGTTCTTCCCCCTGTGATGAGACAAGGTGGCCGATCAGAGCACACTGACCGAGTGGGTCACGACAGGGCTTTAGTTTTCATTTTCTACGTTTACAGGTGTCCATCCTTGGGAAACAACAGCATTTTTAGAAAACCTTTTAGAAGCGGTGATGGTCTAGTAGTTACAGCCTCTGATACCATTTTAAAGTGAAGCAAAAATCTACAACACAAGTGTTCAGGATGTTTGAGGGTACGACTGGAGGTGTTTTACTCTGTGTCTGATACGCAGATCTGTCTGCCAGGAGCTAACAGGGGTGTGTGGATGTCGGTGCGGTGTGAACACTAGGAAAAGAAAACCATTGTTGCCCTAGGTCATACATTTTGCCAAAATCATTATTATAAAATCAGAGTTTTAAATAATTGAGCTACTAGTTTCTGTCTTATTTTATAGGGAGGCATTAGATCTCCGAAGTTAAGCTTCTGCAGTCTGCCTTGGTAGACCTCCTAATTTACTTTAATACTTTGTTCTAGAATCATCCTATAAGTATCATCTATTGAAAAAAACTGGGGCTAATGTTGGAGAAAAGTGCTCAATTACTATTGAAATGATATGAAACGCAATAAAATGTAAAACTTGAAAGTAAGTCAGGTAGAAATAGCCAAGAAAGACAGACTAGAATCATTTATGGAGCTTTTGCTGAGCCTGCTTCTAAGGAGAAACACCGTCCTGTTACTACCTGAGGGAGGACAGCAGTGTCCAGCTGGGTGAGACCTGTGAACAGACTTCCACCTGCTCCTTCTGTTCCCTTGTAAGCAGATCCTTACATTTTAAAACAGATAAGAGCCCTGGCCGATTTGGCTCAGCGGTTAGAGCGTCGGCCTGTGGTCCAGAGAGACCGGGGTTCGGTTCCCGCTAAGGGCGCGTACCTCAGTTGCAGTTAGTCCCCGGCCCTGGTTGGTTGTGTGGGTGGCAGCCACTCGATGTGTCCCTTTCATGTCGATGTTTCTCTCTCCCTCTCTCTCTCCCTCCCACTCTATCTGAACAAAAAATGGAAAAATGTCCTCGGGTGAGGATAAAAAATAAATAAATAAAACAGATAAGATATGCTCATAAAAAATAATGCTTGTCAAGAGGTTGGTAGCCAGCATCCAGAAAGATTTCTTACACCTTAATATAAAGACACCCCCCAAAATGGACAAAAGATTTGAACGAACATTTCCCCAAAGAAAAGAAATGAGCACAAGAAAAGGTGCTCAGCATCACTGGTCATGAGGCAAATGCAAATAAAAACCACAGTACAAATTAAAATGGCTGAAATGGAAGAAATTGTTGTACCAAGTGTTGGTGGGACTGGAGCAATCAGAACTTGCATTGCTGGTGGGAATGTAAGATGATGCAGCCACTTTGGAAAGTAGTTTGGCGGATTCTTAAAACATGAAACATACGCTTACCATCCAGCCATTCTACTCCCTGGTGTACTTCGCCTACAAAGACTTCTGTGCAACTGTTCACACGGTGGGTATTCATAGTAACCACAACCAAAATGTCCAATAGATGAACGAGTAAACAAATTATGGTATATCCGTACTATGGAATACTTCTCAACAAGAACAACAGGCTTGAAGCAACAAGAATGCATCTCAAAGCGTTATGCTAAGTGAAAGAAGGCAGCCAGGAAGAACTACGTGCGATCCCATTGGAGGAAGTTCCAGAGACGTCAAGGGCAGATGGGGCGGCGGGAGCCGTGGAAGGAGATTGACTGCAGAGGGTGAGGAGGAAACCTGGATGGTGGGGTTTCTGTACCATTAGCTGAGGTAGCCATGAAGATGTGGGTTATATGCCTCAGTCAAGCTGGGAGAAAAAGGCAACACAACATGGATTTTAATGATTTTGCAGGACACCAGCAGATGTGTGCACAGGGTAAATGCATGAATTTTAGAATTGGCATGGCTGCTCAAGATGCCATTCTCTACTAGTTTCAGGCTCACTGGTGAAGTCTTGGTTCTTGGGTCATTTGACAGCCAGTTGTTGAAGTGGGTGGGGCCATTTGTTCTAGCAGCCAGCCACGTGGGTATTTATTGGATGGTCAGAAACTACTTGTAATAAAAAACCCACTGATACCTAAAAAAAAAAAAAAGTCAGCAAACTGAATTTGGCTATTTCCAGGCCTCATCTCTGTTCACAGCCAACCTAGAGCTGAGCTGACACCCCTACAACCACCCACAGGGGAGCTGTCTGCACTCGGTGGGGACAGGCAGCGGATGGAGGCACGCAGGTCAGGCACACATTAACGCTCATACCGGCTGGCCGAGGAGTGGGACCCCGTTCCTGCCCCTCAGACGCACACACCCACACCAGGAAACCAGGAGAGCCGGGCTCCAGCAGGCAGGCTCACCCCTGAGAGCAAGAGGAGAGGCCAGTGCCACCTAGTGGGGAGCCCCCCAAATTTCCCTTGCCTGGCAGAAGGGGCCAGTCTGAGTCAGTGGAGAGGAAGCCGGAGGGCAGGGCTTGCTTGATGGGTGCGGGGCACAAAGCTGACTGCATCGAATGTGGAAAGCAGAGAAGGGACCCTCATTCCAGACTCGCGTGTCCTTTCAGATAACAATTTAGTTACAACTTGAGTTGTATGGGTCCTTTCAGCCAGTGTGTGGGTGCTGACGTCACAGGTCTGACATCAGTGTCCCTGGGCCACTCTGGGGGAGCTGGTCCCCACGGTTCTTCCGGCTGAATGAGTCAGAGGCATGAATGGCATTCCTAGCTGGTACAATGGGGCCATTGTTTCCAATAGGTGAAAGCCATGCCAGCCGGAAGAGGGCCATTCAGCTCCAGTGTTTATATTTGCCAGAGCAGCAGGAAGTGACCTGCCCACTTACAGACCAGCTGGTGGCACAGCCAGGTGGCTCTCAGCCCACAGGCCCAGCCAGCTCCCTCCACTCTGGGTCAAAATGTTCAGTGTGGCTGTCCCAAATGGAGAGTTGGGTTGCTTCTACATTTTGGCTGTTATGAATGATGCTGCAATGAACGTGGATGTGCAAATATCTCTTTGAGATTATGCTTTCAATTCTTTGGGGTATATACCAAGAGTGGAATTCCTGGACCCTCCATACTGTTTCCCTAGGGGCTGTGCCATAGTACCTGCTGTTAACAGTGCACAGAGGTGCTGCTTTCTCCACATCCTCGCCACACCCATTATTTTCTGGGTGTTTTTTTTTATTTTTTATAGTAGTCATCCCAATGGATGCGACACCAGTCATGTTGGATTAGGGCCACCTCAAGACCTCATGTTAACTTGATCATCTATAGATCCTCTTTCCAAATAAGGCCAAGTAACAGGTACTGGGGGTTAGGACAGCAACATATCTTTTTTATGTTTTTAAACTTATCTTTATTGTTAAATGTAATAGATGTTCCTTCTTTTTCCCCTATTGACTCCCTCCTCCCCGCTCCCACCTATTGTCTGTGTCCATTGGTTATGCATATATACATATAAGTTCTTTGGTTTATTTCTTCCTAACCCCCACCCCCCTTCCCTTTGAGGTTCGTCAGTCTAATAACCAATTTGTACTACTTAATTCCTTCACCTTTTTCACTCATTCCCCCAACCCTCCTCCCATCTGGCAACCAACAAAATGTTCTCTGTATCTATGAGAATATTTCTGTTCTGCTTGTTCATTTTGTTTGTAGATTCAATTGCCGAAAGATAAGTATTCACTGCCATTTTGTTTGTTCATATTTTTTATCTTCTTTTTCTTCAAGAAGACCCTTCAACATTTTATTTAATACTGGTTTGGTGGTGATGAACTCCTTTAGCTTTTTCTTGTCTGGTAAACTCTTTATATAGCCATCGATTCTAAATGACAGCTTTGCAGGATAGAGTAATCTTGGTTGTAGGTTCTTGCTTTTCATCACTCTCAATATTTCTTGCCACTCCCTTCTGGCCTGCAAAGTTTCTTTTGAGAAATCAGCTGACACTCTTATGGGAACTCCCTTGTAGGTAACTAACTGCTTTTCTCTTGCTGCTTTTAAGATTCTCTCTTTGTCTGAACCTTTTGCATTTTGATGATAATGTGGCTTGGTGTGGGCCTCTTGGGGTTCATCTTGTTTGGGACTCTCTGTGCTTCCTGGACTTGTATGTCTCTTTCCTTCACCAAATGAGGGAATTTTTTTGTCATTATTTTTTCAAATAGGTTTTCAATTTCTTGTTCTCTCTCTTCTCCTCCTGGCACCCCTATGATGCAAATGTTGGCATGCTCAAAGTTGTCCCAGAGGCTCCTTACAATATCCTCATTTTGGGGGATTTTTTTTTTTTTTTTTTTTGCTGTTCTGATTGGGTGTTTTTTGCTTCCTTATATTCCGAATCAATGGTTTGCTTCTTGGCTTTACCTACTCTACTATTGAATCTCTGTAAAAATTTTTTTTTAATCCTCACCCAAGGACATTTTTTGTTCAGATAGAGTGGGAGGGAGAGAGGAAGAGAGAGAAAGAAAGAAACAGCGACGTGAAAGAGACACATCGAGTGGCTGCCATCCGCACGATCAACCAGGGCCAGGGAAAAACTGCAACCAAGGTACGTGCCCTTAGCAGGAACCGAACCCAGGTCTCTCTGGACCACAGGCCAACACTCTAACCGCTGAGCCAAACCAGCCAGGGCTGTAAATTATTCTTTATTTCAGTTAGTGGCTTCTTCATTTCTGACTGCTCCTTTTTTATGTTCTTGAGGCCCTCACTAAGATCACTGAAGTCCTCACTAAGTTCAATGAGCATCCTTATAAGCAGTGTTTTGAACTCTGCCTCTGTTAGGTTGCTTATCTCCATTTTGCTTAGTTCTTTTCCTGGAGATTTTTTCTGTTCTTTCATTTGGGACCTGTTTCTTTGTCTCCTCATTTTGGCTGCCTCCCTGTGTTTGTTTCTATGTATTAGGTAGAGT